TTTACTGTCGGGCTTCGTAAACTTTATGAGGATCGGCAAAACGGCGTATAACGTGGGCATAGAAGGAGGTAGCAGCACACCGGCTATAGGAGGCACAGACGAGGAGGGGGAGTAGAAGGAGGAGGAGGAAGAGGAGGGGAAGAAGGGCGTAGGAGGCCGCGAGGGAAGTCCTCCTCGGAAGGACAGGTTCAAGGAACTCCACGAATTATAGAAAATACGAGGCCCTGTTGAACGGTTCGTTGCTGGCTACCCCAAAGATGCTCCATTTGCCCCTGGAGCTAATTTGACAAACTGATAACTGGTTTTTTTTATTGGTACGATGTGTATGGATACTGTGCAAGATTCAGAGACACTAATATATAAATAATCGAGAATATTTGACTTTTTTAAATTGCCTATCTTTGCAAAGAGCTACGAAATATTTTCAATTGTTTTCTTAGTCAACATTGTAGAAATATAAGCAGTACAATCTTTAGAAGGAAACCTTTCTAAATTTTCGATAATTAATCAGTCAACTAACGACAACTTCTCCTCGAACTTTTACAGAAATAGTACCTCAAAGCTAGGGCAACGGTGGGGGTATACGGTGACCTTGAACGCCGCTAGATTCGAAACGAGCAATAGCTCAGAAAAATGCACGAAATGCCAAGCAAATCCAACCTATTTCAAAACTGATAAAACTATAACGCGATCTAAACAACTTTGCAAGAGATTCTACGAGGAATAGGATCTACCAAACACTGTACGAGAAGATCCAGAAGTGGCTCAGTTCCCGTTCCTAGCTGTCAGAATGTCCCGTCCAGGGATCACCTCGCGGCACGAGCTACGTAACGCAATTAACGAGCGGCCAATTAATAACCAGCCGTTATAGATGCTGGCAGGAATCGTTCGATCGCATGGAATCGCGGGTACCCGCTTAGTACGTGCGAGCGTATCGCTTCTACCTCCCTCCCCTCTCCCTTCTATCGCTCGATTCACCCCCTCCTCTACCATTGGTATACTCGGCATGGTATCCCCACCAGAGGAGCTCACCCTTGCTCTGTTTCATCCATGTGTGTGTGTGTGTGCAGCTAAAACGCAGGAAAGGGAACGTAATAGCCTCGCATGATACACCGCCATTAATCCGTGTATATACCCTTCCATACTTTGGAGGAATAGACACCTCGTACGCCTCGGTTTCATAGCCGGTTCATCAGCCGGATATCTCTCCCCGCTCGACTCTCCTTCGCCTCTTCCTGTCTTTTCCTCTCACTCGCGATGATTTAATTTCGCCCTGTTCCCCTCCCCAAGCTGAGATCCTCCTCCTCCCCCTCTTCTGCAGCCTCCTCTTGCCTGAGACTGCAGATTTGGAGGTCTGGATGGACGTTTTTGTGGATGCAGGATTACGAAGGAGGGGATGAATTGTATCATAGTTTGCAGGGGAACCCATAATTTGGTTGTTGCAGCTGATCTTTTTAGTAAGCGCTTTTAAAGAAGCTTAAATTTCTTTTTTTACCCTTTGGCCTACTTTGAAATATTATGTTTTTATCTACACTGATGATTTAATTTTGATGTCGTCGGAACGAGATATTCCACGGGCGAGGATCTCCTGTTTGCACAGAATCCGTAATTACATGCAAAATGGCTACCCTACGGAGTACCGTCCAATTGATCCTGAAACGAGGTGATTCCAAGCCGATTTCTATCGGCGTTGAAACGCAGACGTTGCCAATTAGGCCTCGGTCCAACGTAAAGGGAAATATTAATAGTATCTCCGTGGATAGCATGTTTGATCGAACGCCAGTTGCAATCCGCTCGAATCGCGAGCCATCGTTTAACAGCACGTCATTCATCTCTCGTCTGTCCAGCCGCGTGCTCATCGATCCATCGTGAACCATGGACGAGCACATAGACGAGCAAAAACGCATCCTAATTCTAGTTTTTGTTCAATGAACTGTTGTAACCGATTACTGTTTCGACGAGCGAGTCTTTGTATGACGAATGAAACGCTGATAGCGTAATAATGGCGGGTCTAACCATATGTAGATCCTTCTTAAATGCTGAGCAAGTGATTTTAGAAATATTGTTCAATTTTGCTACTTACTTGGAGGAACATTTCGCCGTCGAGATGATGGTGGTCGTACGCAGCGAACGCGGCCAGCTCTCTCGCCCTGTAGTGGGAATCGTGGTGAGAGTTTTCTTCCTTGTCTTTGTGCATCACCACTGTAACAGAAATTCAAAAACTTACGTCAATAGACATTGCAAATTCCAAATTAACGCATAATTATCTTTATCGAAAGAAAAAGCAACCGCAGTAACCTTATCTATTAACGAAGATCCTAAGACATCTGAGAAAAATACAGATCGCACCTCTTGGTTGGTAAATTTCTTATTCGACGATTGCTCCTCGATCATTCTCGAAGGAGGAGACAATCACGAAGTAAAGAGTCGGCAAATGAAGGATTTGGCGACGATGTCGCTTAATGGCGCGATCTGGTCCCGCACGTTTTGCAATTATGGTGTGCATATTAAGCAGAGAGGGGCAGCACACCGGCAGGTGTAACAGATCGACGGCTTATTACAGGGCTTAAGAGGAAGTGTCGCTCACATCCTGTCACATATTGCCGGATCTCCTCCGCGGCCGTTCTCCATTAATCTCCTTCCGCCGTTTGATACTTTCGCCTTGCGGATCGTTCCCTTCTGTCTCTCTTTCTCTTCGCTGCCTCACCGCGGAAGGATTCGATTCGATGATGGGATTACCAAGGGGCCCCGCGATAAGGTGGACGCTTCGACGATGGAAACCGTCCGTTTCTCTCGAGCGGAAGAATTCGATTTGAGAAGATAAAGAAGGGTGCCCTGGTCCCGTCGTCCAATGTTTTATTTTAACGTTTATTTCTTCTCTGCTTGTCCCCGAATGAAAGGAGGTGAAAAATGAACCAGTCAGGATGAAGACAGCAAGGTTTAGGATGATTGCAGGTTGCGTTCGGAATGAGTCGAAGTAAGATGGATTAGTCACGAATTGTTTCGATTACTACAATAGAGTTACATCGGCTTCAATTATATTGTGAATCAGAGACAAATTATTTTTAAGTAGAGTCAGTTCTTACGTAGAGGAAGAATCAATGCGAAAGAATTTCAGAAAAATACTACTTTTGCATAATAATTGTGTTGGAGATCTTGAAAGTGGCTTACATATCCTGGGTACTAAAACAAGTTTCTTTGGCACTGTTAGATAATGTTCAGAAAAATTTCGCGCTATTTTAATCCAGAGAAATTCCATATTAACGCTAAAACTACCGACCGGGTCAAAATGACCCATTAGCGACTTTCCAAAAGTGAATTTTTATGTAAGTAAACCGTGATTGGAAAATTCGATTCATACCGATGCAAATGGAAGCATACATGTAGAATATAAATTCGGAAAGTTACAAGCGATAATACTTACCAGTATAAGAACATTCACGTTTTTTCGAAAGACGCTAATGGGTCAGTTTGACCCGGTCGGTAGTTTTAGTGTTAAACTGACTTCGGCCATTTTCGCCGTTTAGTTATCAGTACAATTGTACCTAGAACATCATAAACTCCTACATCAAGACTCCTTTTTCTATCTCATCATAACCGCTTGCCTTACGAATTTTTAAATGGCTGTGCAAATATTATTCAGAAGCACAGCTGGAATTAAAATTAATCTTCAAGGGGTTAATTTTATTACGTAGTTCAAACATAGAATCATCCCAGCGCTTCAGTTTTTTAGTTTTAGATTTTTCTTAAATTATGTAGGCGAAATATCGTTATAACGGGTATTATACTTGATAAGACGTATATTTCACTACCTGATTAAACGGTTAAAGTTAACTTAATGTCATAACAATTAAGGTGTTTTAACGTTTTTCTAACACCTTTCATGCTGGTCAATCAGCCCCATGGTCGAAGTTGGTAGACTTACAGTATGGAGTAGGTTGACTATAGATAGGAGAGACCGGGGCTAAAAATGACCGAGGTAGGTTGTTCCAATGGTTAAAACTTTAAAGTGAAAAGAGATAGGATTGTGCTTTCAATTATTTTCGCCGTGTGAGTCGATCACGGCACTCTGTCATCCATTTTAATAGTATCCGCGACAACGAATCTTGTGGTTGCAACCCCTGGCAAAAAGTTTTCGACCAAACGCAACGGTTTGAAGCTAACTAGAAACAGCAAAATTTTTTATATGTATCATACCATGGTATAAGTACAAAACTTATCCAATGTAATGAAGTAAATACAACAAAAATAATCAAGATTTTCGTTTATTATCTAATAGAAAATAGTGAACAGAGGAAATGTTGCTTGGAAACAAGTATTTGGTCGACCGAAGCTCCGGAAAAAGGTATTCGACATTATAAATTTGCGAAGAGATGAACGGGATATTTATATTACCTAATATTTTGTATACGTTTCCACGTGTACGTATAACCGCTTTTATGCGTGTCGGCATGGATTTTAGGAGATTTTCGCATTCCACTGGTGAAATTTCTTCCCATGATGATTCAATTGCTTCGCGAAGCTCATTTTTATCTTTCGGCTTCTTTGTGTGCATTAATTTTTCCCATATTGCCCATAAATTTTCTATGGGACTTAGGTCTGTACTATTAACTGGCCGTTTTATGATTTTAATATCTTTGGTCTGCAAATAATATTGCACTCCTTTGCTGCGGTGAAAACTTGCATTGTCGTGTTGAAAGTAGAAATCATTCGAATCCTCGTACCAATTTTCTATACTTGGTATTAGAAAATCTTCTGAGACATGAGTATACACTTCGGAATTAACATCAATAAAGTTGTTTTATTATAAAATATTAATTATCTTTCTCTCATATTTTAATAATAAACCGAAGATTATTTTCCACAAATTATTCATAAATTATAATGTATTTATAAGTTAATCAAATTTACACGAAACATAAAAATCGCTTTTCTAACAACAAAATTTCAATTTAAACCCTTATAGTAGCAACAAAAACTTCGAGTATTATAGAAATATAAACATAAACATGTGCCTATAGTTCTTATGTTACCTAGCCTTATAAATAAGTTATTAACTAACCTTCAGTAACGAAAAGTTAATATAAACTGATATCACCGAGATTGGGTGACCAGCTAGTCATGTAACCCCGGACGTTATTAATCAACCAGCCCTGAACGATTACTTTGACTTCAATACTCTACATAACCCTAATTTATTTATGTATAAAAAAAATACCGTTTCAATAGGTCGTCTAATAAGCAAACTTTAATATATTCCTTTATCATTTATTCCATTGTAACTATATAGAGCGTGAAAACATCAAATCTTTAAGAAAAAATATTTATTTAGGTAAATAAATGACATAGTAGAAGTGACTTGCTTCTACAATAAATTTTTCCGCGGTATAGCACAAGTCCTTGCAATGTTATTAACAATTAGTCAATCTACCCCTGTAAGCAATCAGCCCTGGTCGCCTCTACCTCCTCCTGTCAGCGTTAACACATTTCTAAAAGCCCTAATCCAATCTCGAAGCCAAAAGAATCCCACTGAATGCGTGAAATGGAACTTCTGGCTGGAGTGGAAGTGAAACGCGTTGTTCGAGGCGGACGCGCAAGGATCGTCGTTGCCCGGTGAGGTCGACACACGATTTTCGTATCATTTACACGAAGAAACCGATCGCGGCCGGATAAAATACGATATTTCAGGAGTTCCAGGCCGAGGTAAAGTGAAAGCATCGCACGCGGTGTATCACTGCTCTCCATGCCACGGTGGACCCGTGTGTACGAATAAGAACAAGACCACCTGCGAGTTCGCCTGATCGCTGGAAGGCCGGACGATGCGTTTCGAAAGTGAACAACCTCTCGTGGAGCATTTAGCGTCGAAGGGCATCGATGCGTGCATGAAAGATGTGCGACTTCGCCGACGGCCGCTCATAAAAACGCTGCACGCAATACTCCTCTGTCAAGCACGCGTTCGCCACGCGACCCTTCGGGCCACTCTTCAATGGTGACTGTCCTCCACATCGCTCTCGCGACCTCTTCTCTACAGAGAAAAGTCGGTTTCGAAGTCGATCGTGCGAGGCTTGACCGGAAAGTAAGAATGCAAATGCTATAGAAACTTTCTAGGGGACAGATGAAAGTCACTGGCACGGTCTGGACTACGAGGTGGATGATCCAAAAGTCCTGTGAAAAACTGTCCAGCAGAGTAGAGCAGAGTGGCACATTCTGATTCAAATTGAATCGATATCGCCATTTCTAAGACGTTTGCAATTTCGTAGTGATACAAGAGAGCCAGAGAGTCTACGTATACGCTAGAATAGCCACTGCACCTAAAAAGAAAATTACACAGCGACCTAGATGCAATGTATCTTTCCTTTCTGGAAAACCATTGTAACTTTGTGGCAGGTGACTCTTCGTGAGGGTCCTTAGAGAAGAATTACCGCGACTCTACTACGGTAATTTAGTTGCGAAGGGAGACAGAATCAACCCCTTCAATACAGATAACGCTATTGGACGTGAAACGCGAGGATCTTGATACGAGGATTTTTCAGGGGGTCACGTTAATCGCAGGCGACTCTATTCTTCATTGCACCAGAACAAATAACGTTACTGACTTACAATCAGATGAGTAGTTACCAATCATAGTCACGTTTCGCTGATCTCTGACTTTCTACGTACGCCGCGCACTGACAGATACAGATTTTCAGTCACAAGCTCTGAATTCAAATATGTATGTGAAAGCTCGAACACCTCAATTCTCTAATAAGCAACACACATTCATTCCAAAGACCATATCAAACGACCAGACGTTCACCGTTTCCATCGATTAGTTCCTGCGCGAATGCACGGTCGTTTGATCTTGAACGGAAGTACGGAAGAGTCATCGATCGTGGAAGCATTAGCCACGGTCATTAGCCGTGTCCTGATCCCTAATAGAGTGGGGAGATCTCGTCCAGAAGAAGAAGGCATTGAAAATCGAATTGTCGTGAGGGTAAATACAAGGATTCGCGTATCCGTTGGCCATCGTAATGGGGATCCTGTCCCAGAGGGTCGCGTGGCAACTTCAACGACCATTGCGTGCCACTATTTACTCATCCTTCCTGCACGCGGCGTTCCATCTTTAAAAAACGCTTCTCTGCCGATCTTCCTTCCTGTTACTGACCGGGGCAACCTGTTACTAGCTGGGTTCCTCCCTTCGCTTTCGCTCCTTTGATTATTTA